AAATGGATACTCTATTTCTCTCCTTGTTTCAGTTTTTGTGTTTAATTTTTCCTAAGGTTATGCTATTTGATACACTTTGTGTTATATTAGGCCCGCCCCTTGGGCTGAATCAGATTGAAACAAACCAAAAACAGTACAATATGTTTGTCTCCTCTGAAGGCCCATGCACAATGATAATGTTGATAAAAACAATAACCTAACTTTCTTTTATTAATCTTTCCAAAAAGGTAATTATTATTACCTCAGTTTTTGTTTGACAGCAAGACGCCGTCAAGATGGTCCAAAGAAACAAATTGAGATTGAGAGAGAGAGAGAGGATGTACCAAAGTATTGAACTCTGGAGCCGAAGTAGAAATGACATAATCACAACCAACTCGACCAGGTTCGCTTTGGTGCCAGAGTTTCAGTTGTAAAGTACTTTCATTACCCAAAGATAAAAATAGGAAAGGCCGGTTTAATTACTATATGAAAAGCTAACTTCTTTTGAAGAAATCTAGCCTACTCGTTAATGAAATTAATAGTTCTTACACTAAATCTGGTGTTTAATTTCAAGAATGTAATGTTTTGTAGATTATTTATCAATATAATGTATAGTGTAGCTAATTAATCTAATAAAAATAATTATTATAGGATGATATAATTTAAGATTTGGCCCAGCGTTAAAATCTTTAAAACATTATTTACCAGTCAACATATAGTCTTTGATTAACATTATATAAAATGAAACCATTTACCACCACTGTTAAAGAGGGAAGCAAATCTCATAAAATCAAAAAAGGAAACTAAGGCAAGCAAAATCTAAGTAGTAGTTACATCGCACGCTCACAATCAAATTCAATGGGCCTCTCAGCCTAACACTTATTCTGCTGTAAATAACAGAAAAAAACATTTACTCTCAGCTAAAAAGTCTAACAGTGATTTACAAACTACTTTGATTAATGCTACTGATTTTGTCCTAATAACCATACATTCAATCCTAAACCCTACAGATTAACAACAACCCTAAACCAAAGAAAAAAACAAGAAGTTCCTCTTCCTTCTTCTAGACCAATACAACAAAAAAACGACACCGTTTCAAGCCGCCTTCTTGGGAGACTTTTTAGCCGGTGAAGCTTTCTCACCTTGAGACGAAGACCTTTTTTTAGTCGTATCTGGTCGCGTAACGACCTTTTTTAGGTAACGAGAGATACGACCGACGGGGAACTGGAGACCGGATTTGATGGATTTGGAGACGCTTTTCTTGCGGTCTCCTCCTCTTCTTCCGCCTCGAGCTGGCTTCGTTGTTGCTGCTGCTTGTGACTCCATCGAGTTTTTGATTTTTTTAAACAAACGGATCTATAGAGAGTGAAAAAGAGTACTATTTGTTGTAAGATTAGGACATGAGCTTCAGTTTTTTTCAAAAAAACAGAAAAAAAGATTAGAACATGAGAACGTGCGTGTGTGTATATAATCATGTTAATGCCACGCTGGTTTTTATCCAACGGCCAGTATTAAATGATGATTTTGTTTTTTTTTAAATGATGATTTTGTTGTCAACGTATTTTGTTAACTTACTACACGTGGGAGCCGCAAAGGAATGATGGTATAAAACCCTCGAGTAATCTCAGCCGTTTGATTCGTTGGGCCCACATATCAGTAAAGGAAGTATTCCCTTTATTTCACAAAAGATTATTTTTTTAAAAAAGAATTGTTTTACATTTTAATGTAATTGTTATTAGCCAATAATGACACACTGTTAATTTAATAAAACTAACTAATTGCATTTATTAAATTTTGATTGACTAAGAACTGTTGGAAACAATATATAATTAATCACGAAAAAATCAAATTTATTAAAACAGAATCATTGCTATTATTTACCCTTGATATATCCTGAAATATTACTTTTGTGCCATTGAACTACCTTTAAATAAACTAATTATTTCTACATATTCTTACCATTACGATTATTGATATATGTTACAACCTCTCCTTATTCCTAGATTATAGGAACCCATCACTCTCATATTTTTATCTTACAACTGTTCTCAATTTTATGTAAACTAAAATAGACAGTTGCATAATATATTTGAACGTGTGATCAATAATTATGTTTTCCGGTGTTAAAGCCAATACAATGTTATTTAAAGAGGAGAAACTATTTTGATTTTGACTTTAACTTTTTATTGGAAATAACTTTTTTTTGTTGGAAAAAAAATTATAACTGTCATAAACTATACTAATAAACAATATCTTTAGAATTTTATTAGTCTACATATTAACTATATCTATAAAAACATGATCATGACTAATTGATAAATATTTGGTCCAACTATTTATTATTTAATTATTGTTATATCAATAACATTATCTTTTTTTAATATTATTCATTAAATATAAATACAATTCTAGAAATAAAGAAAACAAAAATTAAAACATTAAACTTCTCAAAAATATTAAAAAAAAAGTATACCCGGGCGGGTCAAAATCTAGTAAATATATTTATAATTAAATGTAACAATGTTTTATTGATATAAAAATGAACTAGAAAAAGAGTAGGGCAAAATGTCATAAGAATGAGGATTTGGAAGCCAATTAAAAACAAACAAACAAAAACGATATATCTTTCCAAAATGGAGAAAGTATAAAATTATAGTGTTTAAAACAGGGTGAGAGGTTGATATGTTTTAGTAAACAATCTCTACAAAGATGCTTTATGAACAAATACAGTATTTTTTATTTTATTTCTCAAATACAGTATTTTGTCAAATTAGAAATAAAGGATAGTGGAGAATATTAATTATCTTGGAGGACTCTCGAAAAGATATAGAAGCATACATTATGTGTTCTATATTACACATGAAGTTGCATAATACCACTTTCCCTCTGCTTCGTTCTAATTCCTCTCTCCAATGGACCTTGGAACAACTATAGGAACACAAATCGGTAATGACATCGGAACAGAGATCAAACCAGAGCCGTGCCAAGAAGATCAAAGACATGTTTTTCAAGAATACCAAGAACCTCTTAGATACACCGTAAGATCAAATTCACCACATATATAATCTTCTTTATACAACTCTTTTTCTTTAAAATATTATCTTCTTACTTATATTCAAAAAAAAAAATATAATCTTCTTACTTGTTGTTGTTGTTGTTGCAAGACATGGGTTTTGAGAGTTTCTATCCATTGCGAAGGATGCAAAAGAAAAATAGAGAAACTATTGAGAAAAATCGAAGGTAAGACATTAATATATATATTCGTGTTTCTTTGTTTCTTCAAAAACGTTTTAAGAGACGTTTTTTCTTCTGTTAGGTGTATACACACTGAACATCGACGTGAAGCAACAAAAAGTAACGGTGGTCGGAAACGTGGAGCCGGACCTTCTGATCAAGAAGATCATGAAAGCCGGTAGACACGCCGAGCTATGGCCCACGTCAATGGACAACAACAACAACAACAATGATGGTAACTTTATGATGAGAGAAAAGAAACCAAAGAAACCTAAAAACGAAGATGAAGACAGCAGTGAAGATGATGAAGACGACAACAACAACAACAACGGCGGTGGGATGATCGACGGCGGCACATGCATTGGAGGGCCTCCTCCGGGAGGCGGTGATCAAGTGAAACAAGTTGTGACGTTTGTTAATGGACAACCTCAACCAGGAGATGGAGCTCCAAAGAAGAAGAAGAAAAAGAAAAAGAAGAAGAAGAGCACAACGGTGGTGATGGAAGGAGGAGGAGGAGGAGGAGGAGGCGGTGGTGGTGGTTGTCCTCCGCCGCAGAGCAATGGACCACCACCAGAGACTGTGATATACTCAGCTCCACCGGATCAATACCATCCTCCTCCTAATCATCAGCATCAGCAGCATAATAATATGTATCCGACGGCTCACAGTCCTCCACGTCATTACCAACACCAAACGTACGGTCCTCCTCCTCCTACTTACTATCACTCGCAGCCTCAAACGACGCCGTCTTACACGGTGAGTTACAACACGGCGCATGGGCCGAGTCAAAATGGGCCGGGTAATGATAATGCGTCGTCGTATTACCAGGCGCCTCCGTCGTATTATTCTTATGAGTACGTGGACACGGGGTACGAATCTCCACCGCCCGAGTTTTATTCGTATAGATCTCAGCCGTCCGAATCGTTTGAAGCACTCAGTGAAGGCAATCCAAACGCTTGTTGCGTCATGTGATTGGTTAAGAAAGTTTTTAGAATCAAATTATATAATGGTGAACGAGTTTGTTACTAAGAGTGGTATTTTCATAAACAATCACTAAAAAACAATCTTCATAGTAAAATTAAATTAAATCAAATATATATTCTTGAATAAGAGTTTTTCCGCAATGAAATTTGAACATGTATATTTTGTATTTTAGTAGATATCTTATTCTAAATAAAATGTCAGAATATTATACAATTCGTGAGGTACTATTTTGGAATATGCCGTTTTGTATTTTGGGGGTGCAAAAATTAGAATAAATGAAGGAGAATAATTAGACTGAGAAGAATAAATCTTTTTTTACAAAAGAGCAGAATAAGAATAATCGGGAAAGAGAGATAAATTTGAAGTGAATGGATGGCTTTTGAGATGCGCATATCTTGATGACGACGAATATTTATGTAATAGTGTCCGTAGGGAATCGTATTGTTGGATTGGTCTTTTTCTTGATTGATACAAAATAACTATTGTACTTTTCCATATAAGAAAAAGCAGTCATTAAAACGTATGGAATCAAAACTCGTAAACTACATAACCACAAACGTAAACCATTTCAGTTATTCTTTAATTCCCCCATGGTTGCAAGAGAACCCCACCAAGGAGGAGAGGAATCTGATTCTAATAATTTATCAAACCAATTTTTACATTAGCATGCACTGATAAGACAACATCGTGGAAGAATTTACATTAAATTTTATTTTCTTATAGAAATAGTTAGCGTCTAAAATCTAACTAGTCAGAGATTATTTGCAGCCTTATAAGATAATAGACTTATTAATGAGATAAATTCCGCAAAACTGAATCAGATATAAATGAGAAGCAAATCAAATGCATCATCATCACCAATAGCATTAAAACAAAAGAGTCAAGCAAAAAAAAAACATTACTCCAGTTTATGTCTTAATGATCTTTAAAATAAAGAGATAACAAAATAACTAAAGACAAAACATCTTAGACTTGCTTAGCTTCAACCTTCTTCTTCTGCCATAGCCTGTCGACACCACTGTCAGCATCTCCCTGCAATATATATAGATCAATTGGTTCAATAAAATTAGTAACCCTGATGAAAAATAATTAAAAATCTTACTAACAAGAAAAACAAGAATCAAGAAAGTACACAGACCTGGGCACGAACGAAACCGCAAAGAGCCAAGGTTGTGAACTGTCCGGTGTAGACACCATCAGCATCTAAATGACCAATGTTGAGCTGCACAGAGGCGTGATCCTTCGATGTGATCATCCGGTTAGTAGCAGAGCTGCATTATGTTGTAAATATTTGTCTTTTAGAGATGAAAAAAATACAAATAATCAATTAGAGAATTAGTATTACCATTTCCTAGGAATGTATAACTCTGTGACCTGACCCTCTTCGTTTTGCATCTTGAAGATTAGCTTAAAACGTAAATCCAAACAACTATTAAAAATAAAAATAAAAACAGAACAATTATGTTTGATTAGTACAAAGAGAATAAAAACAGAACACAACACAACACAAAAGCTATCTTCTGGCTGATAAAACTTAAACATGCGTAACCGAACATCTTATGGGATCTAAAGTAAGAGAGAGATCTCTAGGATTCACCAAAACTACTACAAACTCTACAGATCCTAAAGTGTTCTAAGGAGAAAAGAACCATGTCCATAGTTCTTCAGAGCTAATTAGGTGGTAAACGGTGACATAGTTGGCGTAGGAATAAACAGAGACGGAGAAGAAACGACGAATGTGTGGAGAGATTACCTGAGGAGGAGAAGCGAAAGCAAGTGCGGCAACGGAAGAGAAGCGAAGAGACGGAGAAAGACTGCAGAGTTTATACTTTGCTCTAAAAACCCTAAGTTTTTAATGGGCCTAGGATATAATCAAGTAGTTTCGGCCTAGTAAGGCCCATGTTACTGAATCAGGTAGGCTTGAGTAGATGCGATAAAAAAAAATTAAAATAAAAAACTCCGATGCCGGGAATCGAACCCGGGTCTCCTGGGTGAAAGCCAGATATCCTAACCGCTGGACGACATCGGAATTGTTAATTGCTTACCATCGTTAAACTATATAAACATAGGTAGTATTGAAATTATAAAAATTCTAAAGTCGGGTTACGGATGAAGTAAATAATTTGATGATTGAGTTGTTGTGGTAGCTTGTGAGCCTAAGAACGGAGAGCTGTTCTTTATTTGTTTTGTAAGAGGAGATGTTAAGTGGGCAATGTATGAATTTGAGATGTTGCGTTAGGAGTCTATAAGTTTTTGCATTGTGAAAATTGCATGCAAACAAACTTCTTTATTTTTTTTTTCTTGAAGTAAACACCTTTTTGATGATTGGTTGTGGTAGCTTGTGGATCTCAAGAACGGAGAGGCCTACAATGCGCATTTAGTAAATTGTGATGCTTGGATGAACATACTAGATTATATCAAAAAGCTTTGATTCTGCTACAAACTTATAATATGTTGTCAAAACAGGAGCAGGTCTGCTGCACAAGTTTGATTGTATACGTGTGACTGTTATTTATAGGCCTCAGTACATTTGTCTGAAACCAAATTAACCTTACCAAATTGAAACTGAATCAAATTTCGTAAATCACCACACATATCTTATCTTTAGATTTAACTTTTAAATTTTGAACTATCCTACATTTGTCCATGTTATTCAAAATCATCTTAAACACCCGAAATTGAATCGAAAAAATTGATTTTCGATATTATCTTATTTCTAACTTTTTTTTACCCGAACCAAATCGAAAATCAAAATAATCGAACTAGGACCGAATCCAAATTTTGTAAACAACCGAATCGACTAAATTTCTAGAAACGATATATCAAAAACGAAAACGAAAACGAAAACCGAATCGAAAACCAAATGGCTTATGTGTAATGTGTTTCCTTACCATTTGACTAGTGAAGAATCGTCTGATTTGGTTACAGAAACAATGATATCTATTATCTATAAAAGAATCTTTTTTTCTTACAAAACCTTACAAAACCAGTGATGTATGTTTCAATAAGACAGTTAAGTACAGAGAGAGTTATAGTGATGTCGGAAATCAAAGTGGTGGCGGATATGAGTCACGATCAAAGCCTCCTCGTACACGAAGAAGCTTCTTCCACTCAAAACCTCACCGGAAAGACACGACTTGCTTCTCTAGACATCTTCCGTGGCCTCACTGTCGCTGTATCTTTCCTCTTCTCTCTATCTCTCTACTCTAAATTTTCAAAACTTAGTTAAAACATTTTTTTTCTTCTAATTACAAAAGTTGATGATCCTCGTGGATGACGCCGGAGGAGACTGGCCTGTGATAGCTCACGCTCCTTGGGAAGGCTGCAACTTGGCTGATTTCGTCATGCCTTTCTTCTTGTTCATCGTTGGCGTCTCCATCGCTCTTTCCTTCAAGGTTTAAAACCTCTCTTTTTTTTTTTTTTTTTGAGTTTCGTACTCTGATTGCTCAAAACATACACAAAAACGTTTAATTTTTCAGCGGGTTTCAAACAAGTTTGATGCTTGTAAGAAAGTGGGGTTTAGGACATGCAAGCTCCTCTTCTGGGGTCTTTTATTACAAGGTAATGAATGATGTTCTTTGTCTTGTAACCTTGTAGCTTTCAAAACATTATAATATTCATTTTTGTTCAAGAAATCGCTAGGCAGTAATTAGGCGTTTTATAAGGGATTATTGATTATACGAAAATTGTTGAATGTTTACACTAAAAATTGTTGCAGCCTAGACACCGCCTAGACCGATTTTTAGGACACTGGTCACTAATTAATAATGGATGTAAGCTTTTTTTTCTCTTGATGTGTAGGTGGTTTCTCTCATGCTCCTGATGAATTAGCATATGGCGTTGATGTTACTAGGATGAGGTTTTGTGGGATTCTCCAGGTCTTATTTCAATCTCAAGATTCATCTTGTGTATATATATTACTCACAGTTTTAAAAGGTTTCATGCTTGTCTGTTTTTTGTTTGTTTGTAGAGAATAGCTTTATCCTACTTAGTAGTAGCATTGGTGGAGATTTTCACAAAGGACTCACATGAGGAGACTCTGACAACAGGAAGATTCTCAATATTCAAGTCATATTATTGGCACTGGTAAACCTGAAACTTTTTGAGTAATTTAGAATTAAAGTTTATGAAAAGAGTTTCATATTCTTTTACATTCATAGGATTGTGGGTGGATCAGTTCTTGTGATTTATCTTGCCACACTCTATGGAACTTATGTTCCTGATTGGGAATTCGTTGTCTATGATAAAGATAGCATTCTCTATGGGAAAGTCCAAACCGTAAGTCTAACTAAGTGTTGTGTAAGCGTCAGTGATTAGATGATGTAAGAAATTAATGTTGATAGGTATCATGTGGAGTGAGAGGGAAGCTAAACCCTCCTTGTAATGCTGTTGGATATGTTGATAGACAAGTTCTAGGGATCAATCATATGTATCACCATCCTGCTTGGAGACGATCCAAGGTAACAATACTCATCAGTGATCTATGTTTCATGTCAATGGACACAACCTCCCTCCTAATGCATTCTTTTTGAGAGTTAGGCTTGCACTGAGTATTCCTCCTATGAGAGACCTTTGCGCCAAGATGCACCGTCATGGTGTCATGCTCCATTTGAGCCTGAAGGAATCCTAAGGTCTAATTCTATCATCATCATCCTCTAATGAGAAGTTTATAACACTCAGAAGCTTGTCTGATGCAGCTCCATATCTGCTATTCTTTCTACAATCATCGGAGTCCATTTTGGACATATCATCTTACACTTTAAGGTTATAAAACATAAGCCTCATGCTCCTATGTACTTCTTAATATCATTATTTCAACATTATACCAAAATTTTCAGGAGCATGCAACTCGGTTGAAACATTGGATCTCCACTGGTCTAGCTCTACTTTCTCTAGGACTAACTCTACATTTCACACATTGTAAGTAAACACATTGGTTTTAAATCCAACTCACAAAACATTCCCTTCTCTTACATATATGACAAACTGATAATGTTTGCAGTGATGCCTTTGAACAAACAACTCTACACTTTCAGCTACACATGCGTAACCTCCGGTGCAGCCGCGCTTGTCTTCTCCTCCTTGTATTCTCTGGTGATTCTTGTCCCACTATACTGATAAACATTAACAAAAAACAGCTTCATTGTTTCTTTCTTTATTCCCTGGTTTTTGCAGGTGGATGTATTGGAGTGGAAACACATGTTTCTACCTCTGAAATGGATAGGAATGAATGCAATGTTGGTCTACGTGTTGGGAGCTGAAGGCATTTTGGCTGGTTTTTTCAACGGTTGGTACTATCGCCACCCAAGCAATACACTGGTAAAGTCTTTAATGAGTCTTTTTGTTCTCTTAATGATTTAGTTGGAAGTTTAGTAACAAGTGTTGTTGTTATGGTGATTGTGTTTAAGATAAATTGGATTAAAGAGCATGTTTTCATCAGAGTTTGGCATTCAAGAAGAGTTGGTGTCCTAATGTATGTTCTTTTCGCGGAGATTCTCTTTTGGGGTTTGGTTACTGGTGTTTGTCACAGGTTCAAGATCTATTGGAAACTCTAAGCAGATGACTGTGACAAAGAAACAGAACTCTTAACTGTGATACTAATAGTTAGGGTATATATATAAGCGCAATAACTCTGTGTATGTATCTTCTCATAACTCTCTTTGTAATGAATATCCTTTGTTGATTATATGTTACTTACAAGTTACAATCAACCCTGCGGATTCGGTTAATTCGGGTTTAGGTATTTTTGTTGCGTGTAGTTGGCTTCAGTCACTATCCCACCGATGTAAACCGAAAAACAGTTCGGTTAACTTCAATTTTTTTTATTTTTTTTCTGTAAATAACCGATTTTTTTCGATTTCGGTTACATTTTAGTTATAACTTTTTTTTTCGATTTCAGTTAGATTTTAGTTATAACTTTTTTTTTCGATTTCAGTTAGATTTTAGTTATAACTTTCTTTAAAATAGAAAATCGGTTGAATTCAGTAAGTTTTATTAAATTTGGTTATCTTTAGTTAGTTCGGTTTATTTTGATTGATTTCGGTTATTCATCTATTTATTTTTTAAGGAAAAGAACAAAAACCAAACCAAACCGAACTGAAAACCGTAACTAAACACGACTCAAGCTGGCTTAGAGATGGCAATTGGGCTTTCCCGTCCTGTTCCGTCCCGTACCGCAGCGGGCTCATCGTCGAGCGGGTCACGGCGGGCCTGTCCCGCGCGGGCTGCGGTCTTCCAAATGGCTACCCAATCTCGTACCGCATAATTTATAAGCCTTCGCGGGCCGTCCCGCGGGACGTCTCCTTCAGCTTCCTTCATGAATATTAAAGTAGAAGAGTTGTGTAAAGAAGTTGAAGAGAGCTGAACAACATCGATCGCAACATCTAATGTGATCACTCGCTGGTTTAATGGTCTTGAAGTAAGTGAGAGCCATTTGGACAGTAAAATTTAACTCTTTTAAGAATATTCCTTGTTTGATTCTTTGTAAAGCAACGTCTCTTCATAGCAAAAATAATTTAATACTAATGTTTCTTCTTCTCTTTCAACCAAGCTGTTGAACTTAGAGTGTAAAGACAAAATTCTGCAGTAACCCAAACTCTCATTTCGAGCCGTTAAAAGAACAAACATTAGCTCGTCAACAAGCAGTAACTCTTTAAAAACATCATTGTAACAAAATTTATTTTTTTGTGGAAGCACCGTAGCCTAGTGGTTAAGGTTTAAAGGCTTCTACACCAGGTCTGGGGTTCGAATCTCAGGCTACGCAGTTTTTACACCAGGAGGGTTTCAATTCCCGGAGAAGGTGAATGGCGAATTATGCAAGATTGGAGAACGCTTACAGGAGATCTTCAGCATGGCGCAAGGCGTACCGTCAGGAATGGATTTCATAGGGCGGCTCAGGATGATGCGGCCAGACGTGAATCCGCATAAGGCAGGTAGAATTGTCGGCTGTAATATCGTCTATGTAATATTTCTCATAGTTTGTAATACATGATTATCCAGTGTTAAAAAAAAAAAACAAAATTTATTTTTTCTTTTTAAAACACCACTTGACAATACTGAAAACAAAATTCATCAACTTAAACAAGAAAATTTCACACAGTAATAAGGCAATTTATAGTACTGAAAACAAAACCAAACATAAATGAGGACTTATGGTTACGGGTCTTCAAAATCCCGCGGTTAACCTGTCCCGCATTCGGCCCGTCCTGTTTTGAGCCCGTCCCGCATTCGGCCCATCCCATTTTGAGCCTGTCCCGCGAGGCCCACAATTTTGCGGGCTTATCAAATGAAGGCCCAATTCCGCCCCGCAGCAAGCCTTTACGGGCCAGGCCCGCGGTACAGGTCTTTGATTGCCATCCCTAAGCTGGCTTTATATACCCATCCAAAACATCCGCAAATCTGGCTTTATATACCCATCCAAAACATCCGCAAGTACCCGCGATTTCGGATCTATTTGACCCGGTTTGTATAAATAATAAAAGAATTCTCAAGTTCTATGTGAACTATTTAAAGACTCTAAGCCAAAAAGAGGGTTCGATTTCGCTAGTTATAAGCGAAGAAAGACGTCTCACACTAAAAGAAGCTGCCGAGTTCTGAAGAAGAAGAAGACGACACACTTTCTTTCCCGCCACTTCTCCATTGCCTTTGTGGGTGAGCAAACGATGTTGTGGGTCGACAAGTACAGACCCAAATCGCTAGATAAGGTCATCGTTCACGAAGAGATCGCTCAGAATCTCAAGAAACTGGTACAAACCCTAATTGCAAAGTTTTGATTTTTTAATGTTTTTGATGGAATTGAACGCTGGGTTTTGATTATACTGTTAGGTAACGGAGCAAGATTGTCCGCATTTGCTGTTCTATGGACCGTCTGGGTCTGGTAAGAAAACCCTAATCATGGCGCTTCTTAAGCAGATTTATGGTGCCAGTGCTGAGAAGGTATACATCCTTTTTTTCCACTTTTGTTTTGTTTTTTTTTCATGGGTTTTGTTTTGTAATAACAAAAGTTGATGACTTTGAACCTTTTGGTCTGGTATGTTGGGATGTAGTTAAGTGACTCTCTCACTAGCACTAACTCTTTGTTTTCTATTTGGTTGATGTCTCATTGCTGCTCTTTTTTCTTTTCGTTGTGCAGGTGAAAGTGGAGAACAGGGCATGGAAAGTTGATGTGAGTTTCACATTATTTTCTGTTTTCATTGCTTTTATACTTCTAGAGCTCTCTCTGCTTGATATATCTCTATATTTGTTTTTGTGTCCTTGTTGGATCAGTAAATTGTCTTTCAGTGTCTCCTTGTACTCGTGAACGTAGAATTGTGAATTATGTTTGGTTCATTTACTTTTTGTTGGTCTTTCTTCGTTAGAACATAACAACTTTTGTGAGAGTTGTCAATGTTGTTCTCTAGTCTTTAGTATATGAAACCTACTAAGCCAAACCCATTGAAGTCTCGGGGTCCTTTGTAGTTGCTCTAATAAGTTACCTTCAGTCATTTTTTTTTCCTCTTTTTAATGTTTTTAATCTGTTTGTTATGTTAAATTTGAAATATGTAGGCTGGGAGTAGAACTATTGATCTGGAGCTTACTACTTTATCAAGCACAAATCATGTGGAACTTACTCCAAGTGATGCAGGCTTTCAGGACAGATACATCGTTCAAGAGATCATTAAAGAGATGGCTAAGAACAGACCAATTGACACCAAAGGAAAGAAGGGATACAAGGGTAAGAATTAGTGTTCCGCCTGATTATTTCACTACATTATTATTCAATAGTGGAGACATTTTGGATGTCTAGGTCTCAGAATAGTTGTTTGAAGCATCTACGAATAGTGAGGCTTTTATTAGAGCATTTGAGCTAAACTTCAATCTATATGCTGCTTTGGTTGACTTGGTTCTGCATTATATTGTTCAGAGTATAATTTTTCTTTTCTTTTTCATGGTCAATTAGGTTGCCTCATGTTTCTAGATTTAAGGCTTTATGTTCAACTGAATTTCTTCATTACACAATTAGATCATTCCATGTTCTCGGTTATTAACTTATCTCTAGTCTCTTACATCGTTTATAGGCTATGTGTTTGCCTCCATATCCTGCCCAGTCAGTTCAACTTTTTCTCACATATTAAAGTTATCTGATGGCTCGTATGTTTTTGTTTTGTGGTTTTGGCAGTGTTAGTACTAAATGAAGTTGACAAGCTCTCACGAGAAGCTCAACATTCTCTGCGGAGAACAATGGAGAAGTATAGCTCATCATGCCGTCTCATCTTATGCTGTAACAGTTCTTCAAAGGTTACAGAAGCCATTAAGTCTCGTTGTCTCAATGTGCGCATCAATGCACCTTCGCATGAAGAGGTACAAAAGCTGTTTCCCTTTGTTTTTGTCGAAAATTCGCTTAGATAATCAGCCAACCAAATCCTCTTTAAAATGCCCATCCTGTGGGAGATTTCGAACTTCATCGTTTTTCCTATAGATCAACTCATTTTATAAATAGATTCGTACATGTTCATGCCTTTCTACTTTGTACTTCTCACAAATGCTTGTACCTATGCACACTGAATCTTTGATCCTCTATGAACTACCTGTCATGTAACATTTTCTGTGATGTCCCAAGTTTGTTCCTGTTATATAAAGAATCTGTAGTTGCTATCAGGAAGATGACATAAGATTCAGTGTTTGCTTAGTTTGTGGCCTTTGTAAAGTTTTTGCAAAAAACTTGTATGCATTGTTTACAAAAATGTAACTCTCTGTTTCCAGATAGTGAAAGTGTTGGAGTTCGTTGCAAAGAAAGAAAGTCTGCAACTTCCTCACGGTTTCGCTGCTCGTATTGCCGAAAAATCAAATCGCAGTCTTAGAAGAGCTATTCTGTCACTTGAGACCTGTCGTGTCCAAAAGTAAGCTTCACTAACTGTATATATGCAGACAATCTGATTGATTTGTTTTAGTTATTAATTTAACATGTATTTTCTTTCGTAGCTATCCGTTCACAGATAACCAAGTGATATCTCCCATGGATTGGGAAGAGTATGTCGCTGAGATATCAACTGACATGATGAGGGAACAGAGCCCTAAATGGTCATACTTTAGTAAATCATTTAGCTTTACAATATTAAGATGAAACATCCCTTGTTTTAACCATCTATCTTGTCTGCTTATTTCAGTTTGTTTCAGGTGCGTGGGAAGGTATATGAGTTGCTACTTAATTGCATTCCACCAGAAGTCATACTGAAGGTTTCAAACAAAACCTAATTCCATTTTTCGTTTCCCAATCTCTTTCCTTTATACACATTAGTTTATACATTTCCAGAGACTTCTTCATGAACTGCTGAAGAAACTTGACTCAGAGCTGAAGCTTGAAGTCTGCCACTGGGCTGCATATTATGTAAGATTAGTTGTATACTGTTCTTGAGTCTTAGCTTGTGAATTTTATTTCTCCTCAGCATTGTTTCAATATCTGTGTTCTCTTTTGAAATTGAGCTATGGTTCTTTTGATTTGATGGCTTTCTTGATGATATGTTTTTGGGCACTTGTTAACAGGAGCATAGGATGAGATTAGGTCAGAAAGCCATATTTCACATAGAAGGTATATAAGCTCTTCATATAGGTTACAGTAAACGTAATAATAAAGAAACCATCTTCTTACATTTGTATAATTGTTGTTGTTGGGGTGTTAACAATGCAGCATTTGTGGCCAAGTTTATGAGCATATACAAAAACTTCCTCATTACAACATTTGGGTAGAGTATGAAGGAAGGAATGCTCCAAATCCAGGAGAAGAGGACAGTCTTGTGTGTCTCCTTTCTATTAGCTTTTTTCGATCACTCTCTTCGTCTAGATAAGGGAAGTAGAATCCTTTTATCAACTCAACTCGTGTTCAAGCTATCTCTTTCTGAAACGAAAAGACAAACGTCCATGTGTTACGATTTAATGTTTGTGACATTAAACACCAAAAGTAATGTTTTTTTTTATCTGAAGACAATGACGCATATGATTATAACATATTATATTTTGCTTTAGCCGTAGTTGAATTGAAAGGAAGAGTGGTTTTGAATTGATTGATTCTTGAGTTGACCAAACCATTTTTGACTCGTCTCATCAGTCGGTCAAAGCTATACAGTTTTTCATTAGCAAATCAAAAACACTAACTTCTTAAGTTATTAGTCTACAAAATTTCTTAAACTCTTGATGTTTGTATTCAGTTTTAAATGATTTTATACTCCTTCTGTTTCATAAAAGATGTCATTTTAACATTTTAATTTTGTTTCAAAATAAGGGTCATTTTATATTTTCAAAGCATATTTTTACACTGAATCTTTCTCTTACTCTTTTAAATAACCAATATATATTTAGTTAAATCATTTTATTTAAATAATTATATAATAAATAAGGGTAAATAAGTATATTTTATTATTTTCTTAATGTATGTGAAATGTGTCTTAGTGAAAAAATGAGTATAAATTAGAGAGTTTAATACTCTCTCTGTTCCTAAAAGATAGACTTTCTAGTGTTTTCATACATATTAAGAAACTACATTAAATCATTATCATTTTCCGTAATTTTCAATTTTCAACAACTTTTAGCCAATAGTAATCTAATAAACTAATTAATTTTTTTGAAACTTGTAATTTTCTCATAGAAAACATAGAATATACATCTTTTTGAAACAAAATATTTTTTCAAAACATAGATCTTTTAGAAACGGAGGGAGTATGATCCTGGGTAAATCACATAAATCATGAAATTTAGAATTTTTTTTATTTTTCAACTAAGAAACTTTATCTTTTTTCTGGACACCAACTAAAATTTTATATCAAACATCTCTAAAACAATTTAAAATTTAAAATTCTCAGAGCTAAAAATGTTTCCAATAACAGTGAACTTATAGTTATTTATAAAATATTGTGCTTAAAAGAAAAGTAATTTACAAAATATCAAATTTAATTACAGTATATTATTTTAAAAAGTAAATATTTTAATTGAGTAAAAGTGAGTTTATCAATTTATCTAATCTATTAAAACAGAAGTACAAATATAAATTAACCCTTAAACTTGCACAATATTTACAATCCAATGCCATTGAGAATTAAATAAACTTAATAATCATTGTCTTCTAAACCAAAAGTTTACCTATTTTTTGTGATTTACATATCTCCTGAAATAAGTTAGCTAGATTTTAGGAATATTAAATTTAAAAACGAATTTTAAAATATTAAGTAAATATTATTAAATATCACATAATCCCACAAATTTAGTTCGTAAGGCCTAATATATGTATAAATATGTTATTTTAAGTATATTTTTATATAAATAATAACTCAATACAAATCAAATATATAAATATCGATCAGTATAAAATATATATAAGACTTTAAATAATATTATATAACAGTTTCACTCTACATTAAAATTTAGATTCATACAAAAATAAAAACACATTTGTGGAGATCCTACAAGTCATATTTAAAAAATGTAAATAATAAAATTAACGGCTCAAAAATAAAATAAAACTATTCACTAGAAACTATAAAAATATTGTGTTTACAATATGTATATTAAAAATTTATTTACTATATACAGTAAAAATTTTAAAATATATACTACCGCTCGTAGAAAGATAAATCTATTTTTTTGTAAATATGAAAATGAAAACATGTGCAGGTGCACGGTCAAGCAGTAGTTCTTATTATGACTGAAATATATACAAATCAGGGTTTTATGGTTGCCTAAGCTTTTGGAGTTTGACTATGAGATATAATATAAGCAAGACAAAGATAATGTGGTTGCATATGCGTTATCTCGTGCGGAGGTTCAGAGATTTTACATATGGCCATGACGGTTTTGGAGTGTGATTTGATAAAAAATTATTAAGGAGGTGTATGAGAGGGATTTGGTATTGAAGAATATCATTTAAGAGTTGAAGAAAATCCCTCAAGAGTAAACGATTCTACTCTTGGTATCAGGGAATATTAAGAAGGAATAATAAAATTGTGGTTCCATCACTGACGAGCCTCGGAAACATGATATTGCAGTGATTACATGGATGATCCGGTTACAATATAGATTTTATATATCCACAAATTATATAAAACACAAATGTAATATGATACAACTTATGTATTTACCCTATTCACTTTTTAAAATGAAAAAATTTTAAAACAAAATTGCTAGAGATCTTTTTTAATTGTTATTATTATTGTTGTCTAAATAATTAATATTTTTTAAAAAATATCTATAAAATCATAATTTTAAAAATATATTTCAATAAAAATAATATTATAATAAAAAACACCATATGTGCGAGACATTCTAATATTTTACATTTAATTTTTAGTTTACCAACTAAACAAAAAAGTATATATCAAAAACATACAATCTGATAGTTAGAAAAAAACACACTAAAAAATAAACAAGATACACCGACATAAGAACTCTCAAAATTATGATACATAAATATTAATTTTTCCAAACTCTCAAACCTATAACATCAAAACTCTCAAACCGACATCAGAACTCTCAAATACATAAATATAAATATTTTTTACAACTAACACAAATATATAATTATAGAGAACACACATCCGCGCGGACGCGCGGATCAAAAGCTAGTATAAATTAATTCGGTATACTGTATATGGGTCAAACTCAAATGTACCCCCTATATTCTTTCTTTAGAATATTTGGTAATATTTTTTTTTGTTATAACCGTAATAATGCGGGAATGTAGGGCAAGTAAGCAAATTGGTTTTCTCTTACCTCAGAAATGTCCGCCCTTGTGTTGCTTTAAAACCGCCACGAGACGCACATTGGTTTCTCTTACCAAATTTTCCCTTGCGAATATTTTTTTTTTTGTTGATCATCAAATGGCGGAATCAAAGACAAAGTTTGCAGAAATCAGGGAATGGATCGTTGATCACAAACTTCGTACCGTTGGTAATCACTCATTCATTCTCCTTTTTTTTTTATTTGTTCCTTCTGTTCATCAAAAAATGTTCTCCTGTGTCGTTTTGGCGTAATAAGAGTACTCGAATCGATTTTTTTTAGGGATACCATAGATCTCTGTGTTATGCAGTATTCATCTGATTTTAATATCTGGATTTGTGTTTTTTTTTTTCTATTTGCTTCACATTGTCGGTGCTCCGATATTTTTCTGACATTATTTGTCTATACGGTTTTATTTTTGTGTTCTGATAATATCTGTTTTTGTCTTGTTGTCTGTTGAATAGGTTGTTTATGGCTGAGTGGTATATCTGGTTCGATCGCCTACAACTGGTCTAAACCTGGCATGAAAACCAGTGTCCGAATCATCCATGCTAGGTAACAACATCTTCTAATCGTATTGTTATTTCAATATTTGGGGTTTATAACTTTTGTTAGATGGTGTGGTAAAATGATATCAGAGTTAGATTGTTCCACTTGTAAAAATCTGATTGTTAATCTCTCTTTTTAATGCATCAAACTAAAATTAATGATGGTGTATTCTCTAATAAAAAAGACACTAATCTTGTGATGGCATATAGACAAAAAATTTGCATAATCACTACCATGTAGACAAAAATTTGCATAATCACTACCATGTAGATTCGAGCAAGTAGCAACAATCAAACTGTTATCAATATCGATCATATAACACCATCCTTGCCCAAATATGCTTGTTGTGTACTTGAAAAATGATATATTGAATAAACATTACGATATATCACAAAATCCACGGTCATGTTAGTATTTTTTTTTTTTTTAAATTTGTCGTTGATTGTTTCCTTTACCATTGATTCAGGCTACACGCTCAGGCGCTGACATTGGCGGCTCTAGCTGGAGCAGCCGCAGTGGAGTACTATGATCACAAAACTGGATCCACTTACCCCAAATTTCTCAAGCCTGATAACTTGAATAAAGACTAAAAGAATTATATGTTCAATGGCTTATGATGCCTATTTTAGGCATACCATAGCTAGTGCATTTTTTTTTATGTTTCTTGAATCCTTCTCTTTGGTAAATTTGGATTTAATGTTGGGTTACTTATATATAGTCCCTACGCCCCCTGCAGACTGTTTGCAAAATTACGGGATGCTAATCTGTAAGAGATACGTACACTTTCAGAAAAAAAATAACGAATACTTATATTCCGTTTTATAGATGAACTGAAATGTTCTTATGTTTATCTGGCTATGTACGTAAAATAGTCTAAATAGACACAGATCAGATTCAACATATTCGTGAAGAACGTTTGTTAAAAGATAGCATACTAGGTTCAATCTCTCTTCTATTTTTTAAGAATTAATATTTTTTTCCAAATTTCCAAAAAGAATAATTAATCTTTCTGTAAACATAGTCACCAACTATGTTTTTAACAACAGACACTACTGAACACTTAAATGGGCCTGTAGCGTTCGGCCCGTGAGTGTAAAACCCAACAATCTTCACCTATTAAAGTTTGTGAGCGAGAAATATGCAAAACATCCCACATCGCTTAGATTTAAACGGAAGGACTCGCTGAGCAGTGTATAAAACGAGAAGGGGGAAGAACAAGCAAATCACTTACCTGGACGGGGTCAACTCGTGATCAAGAAGACGAGTGGCCTAGGCTAGTGACCTCCATTGCACTCTAAGGAGGGGTGCTTAGCCTAAGGTCTCCCCAAGTGGGAGAGCCTGCGTCATTATTTGTGGCAGAGGGAGCCTGCGTTCGCGCGGCTCCTACCATTCTTAGTTTGAATTTTTCCCTTTTCAATTTCATTGAAGTTCCGTAATAGTTATATATGCAATAAGTTGACGACCCTACAGCATCCAACATCGATAAATCTTCTAACGGCCAAACAGATTCATCCACGAAAGATAACTGGCTTTTGGCCCATTAAAACACGTCGGCCTTTTCGAACAATCGAATCAACCTTAGAACTCTAAAAGAACCTAGACGCAATTTATTTTCTCTTACCGTCGTCCTCTATTTGAACATTGAATAATCTTTCCACATACACAAAAAGAGAATAATCATTCCACAGAATGTTCTGTAATTTTGTTTAAAAGTC